TGGTATGGGCCTGCTTGGGGTGCACCCCGAAGAAAGAGGCGTCGAACTTGGACAGGTCCTTCAGCTTGCCGGAGCGCCGGGGGAGGCCATAGAGCCCTGCGGGACACAGCGTCACCTTCTTCCCTGACCAGGCCACAGGCAGCAGAGGACACCCGCGGGCCGGCCAGTCCTAGGGCCCACAGTGGTGTTCAGGGGCCCTCCAGGAAGGGTTGGCGGAGGCGGGGGCCTGCAGCCTGCCACCACCCCTGGCTGGGAGACCCTCTTCCCAGCTTGTCCCGCTGAGCGGCCCCGTGCTGACTCACAGCCGGCCCTTCAGGTAGGGCTGCTCTGCAGAGGAACCTGCTGGGCGTGAGGCGGTCAAACCAGCCTCCCTGGGCCACCTGGTGTCCCAGCTCCCGCCATCAGGGCGGGGGGCACGGCAGGAAGGGCCTGCTCCCCGCTACTGTGGACCCTGGTGAGCCTCCTCCACCCTGGGCCTGGCCCATCCACACGGGGCCAGCCATGTGCACCCTGCCGACCCTCAGCTGAGGCCGCCTGAGGCCCGGGGTTTGAGGGGCGGGAGCCTCCTGCCCACCGACATGCGCTCACCAGCCTTCCAGCGGCGGTCATCCTCTGTGACCATGTCCACACCCCCGATGAGGTTGGCCCAGAACTCCTCCAGGTTCTCGGACTCGGGCAGCTTCCCGGACATGCCAGCAATCACCACCTCCTCCATGTTGCTCTCTGCAGGGCAAGCACAGGTGGGGTCAGCGCTGCCCAGCACCCGTGTGCGCATGGTTCTGGAGCCCAGTGTCCAAGTGCAGGCCTGAGACGGGGCAGGCACGTGCTGGGGAGCCTGGTGCACCCACTCTCTGGAGGGGTAGCGTGCTTGGGCCTGACTCCTTACTCTGGGGTGCAGGCCTGGGGACCCCACTGTGGCCACCTGCCCCCCCCCTCCCGTGGTGCTCTTGGGTTGTCCGGGATGGGGTCACACCGCGGGTTGTTAGCTCAGGAGCCAGAGGCTGCGGTGGGCACTCAGCACCCACCCACACTCCCCTCAGGCCCCAGGGCAAGCACCCTCGGCCTTTGGGCGGTGGTAGGGCTACGCCCCCCCCCCCCCCCGCGC